CAATATGGCGGCATTGAGGAAGAGAAAGACATAGAGAGGTACACGGGAGGTAAAGACAACAAAGATGAACCCTTTTGCACAGACAGTACTGCATTGTCAGTGAAGGCAAACACCGGTATATGGGTGGACAGATGGGTGGATGGGCTGAACTATTAGGTATGTCTATGCAGCAAGGAGTGTACCCAAGAACATGTATAGAGTTGGCAGACAATGGTTCTACAAGTGTATTTGTACATTTTATAAGAATTCCCAGGGGTATAGTAGAGCTGACAAGGGACAAGGTTATAGTCACTTTTTGGTCACAGCCAGCTACCCACAGGGACTGAGTAGTTGAACCTGTGGGCTCAGGACCATAGTCACAGGGGACATGAAGCTCAATTGGCATAACATACCACACAAAACTTGTTCCACCTCCTACTTTGGCAAGTAGCGACTGGGATCTTAAAAGCTTACAAGGTACCATCTAGATGCAACGATGGGTCTCTCCTCGTCCAGAGCAAAGAAGAATGAAGAAAACCAAAAATTCACGGAAACAAATTAGCCCTAGTGACTGGTATACCATCCAATTTGCAGCCTATATGACTATGAGACCAGAAGAACTAGATGGTGCCCAGCTACCACTGTCAACCACTTGGAAGGGGATCTATGTAGGAGATCCTGGATAGAGAAGGAGAACAATGTGGAACAAAACTCAAAATCATTTGCAGAAAATAAAAGGGGGGGGACCAGGTTTGCTGATCCAACAAGCCTGGTGGAACCACTGATACTATGGCCCCTAGCCACCCTTCAGGTCTGGAATTGAAGCCACACCTGTGGCTTCCAGCCAAACAAAAGACAGGCAAATGAGCTGAACATTTACCTGAGGTAGATACACTCCTTGGAAAGAATAATCATGGGAGAAAGAAGGGCTGCTTATGCACAGGGAGACAGCTCAGGGGGCAGGAGTGCATGGAGGGATGGACACAGGGAAGAGGAGGAAGTGGGAGGGTAGCTATTGCATTGTGGTAAATTGTGGTCAATGTCATGAGACAAAGTGTATGTGAAGTGCTATATGGAAAGTGAATTTGCTCTGTAATTTTCACCCAAATCACTATTACAAAAAAAAAAAAAACCCTAGAGGACATTATCCTGAATGAAATTAGTCATTCACAACAAAAGGACAAATAATATATGAGACCACTACCATAAAAAATTCAGAAAAAGTTTACAAATAAATAGAGAGGGTAAAATAGCAGTTCTCTGGACAAGAAGATAGCACACACAGATACAGCAGCAATACCACACTGAAAAAATAAGAGAATTAGGTCAATTACATACACAGCAAACGCTGAATGCCATTCTTCTCTCACTCTGCAACCAGAATATTAAAACAATGGATTGGAAGATTCTTCCATGGAGAATCCAATGGCCAAGAAAAAAAGTCCTAATGTTACTGATAGCTGGGGAGGTCCCCAAAGCAACAGCCTGGCTAGACCAAAAACCCACTGCCATCAAGTCAAATCTGACTCATAGTGACCCTATACGACAGAACCCCATATGATTTCCAAGACTGTAAATCTTTACAGAAGCAGTTTGCCTCATCTTTCTCCCACGGACCAGCTGGTGGGTTTGAACTGCTGACCTTTTGGTTAGCAGCTGCATGCTTTAACCACCACACCACTAGAGCTCCTCTGCCTAGACCAGCCTAGGACAAAACCTACAGTCAGCCCACCTGTGTACAGAGAGATTCAAACCTACTCTTAGTGCCCCATTCTTAAATACAGTTGCTAAGCCAGAGACCAACAGACACTGAGGAAAGCCTCAAGCAGGATAAATATAATGGCTGAAACCAGCAAACAGGAAAAAGCAACTTGGAAGATACTGACACTAACTAGAGACCAAAAAACTTACAACAAAAACTATTTTTAATATCTTCAGAGCTAAGAAAGGATATTTCACCAATTATATGAAAAGAGGACACTACAGAAAAGGAACATTCATAAGGAGTAAAAAAGAGTTCCTCTCACTCTTTTATTTTTCATTATTATCACCATTCTCATAATCGATTTTATTTTTAAAAAATTAAATAGTAAATCTCAAAAATACTAAATTTAAGTAACTAGGTCTGACATTAACTGAAAAAGATGGGAAAGGGTACATTCCAGAACTTTCCAAACATTTTCTTTTTACAAAAGTAGTGCACAACTAACACATACATGCACATATGTGAAAGCATGCAAATACTTGCCTATTTTCTTCCAGGATTTCAATTAAACTCTTCTGTAGGAAATGAAGCACTGAAACAAACAAAGCATATATGGGTGTGTACATATACATATAAAATAAAAATACATAAATTTAAAATGGTATAAGAAAATATTTAAATCACTGTCTCCTGAAGCGGTAACACAGTATAGAAGCAGAGATTTAAAAAGAAGAAACATTATTACAGCTATCTGCAATACTCTACCCATTGCCAAGAAACATAATAACAAGTTCCAAAATGAGTCATAAACTCAGTCACATCTTAGAATAATATAAAATAATAAGACTTACCATTTTCCATCAGGTTACAAACACTTGCTCTACCTATGGAGGAAAAAAATTAACACCAGTAAGGAATTTCAGGACCAAAATTAACATCATTAAAAAAATAATGTCAGCAGGTATGCTCTAGGAAAAGTATTAGCAGAATGTTGGCTTACCCAAGTTAAAGTTCTCCATACAAGAAGATATATTGTCAATTACTTTCCTATAAGAGTATATGTCAGTAGTATTCAATTCTTCTTGAAGCCGGTAAGTAAAACTGTGTATAGCTTCAGTCAGAAAAAATTCAGGCAGGCCATTTAGTGAACTAAAGAAAGAACCAAAAATGAAAAATCTGACAGACTGGTAGCACTGTGTGTGATATGTGGAGAGGGAGATGACTTATACAACTGTAAGAAAATTGAATTATACCTTCAGAATACAGCCAGAAAATGACTTCACACCACTATCACTGGAATTCCTCAAACCATCATCTCTCCCCTGGTCTCTCTGCTTTCATCCCTGTCTTCTTCCTCCCACACCCCTAACCTATTCCCAAGAGAAGCAGAGTGATTAGACTAAAACGCTAGACAAATTATGTTACTCTGTGCCAAAAACCCTCCAACAGGGGTTCTGGCAAGATGGCGGACTAGGCAGAAGGATTACACAGACCCTCTTCAAAAAAGAAAAGGGAAACCAATTAACACAGACACAGAAGATAATCTTGGACCCCTGAGCCTTGAAGGAAAGGATGCAGAATTGGACTAAACCCCAACTAGCA